CCCTCAGCACTGACTCACAGGTTTGTCTTTATTTTTGTTTTTCTGTTTTTCTGTTTTTCAGCTCAACCTGTTTGTTTAATGTTTTCAATGATCCAGTAAAAATAAAAGAAACAAAACTAAAAGTTTAAATTAAAGGACATGAAGGTTGTGAGTCAGGAATAAAAACATTTAACAACATTTACAGATTTTATTCAGAATATTTTACTGATTCTAAGAGAAAATATGAAGTTTAATTTCCTCAGAATCATTCAAACTGAACCCAGAAGGTTTTCCTGTAAAGTTCTGGTTCTGGTTCTGGTTTAAACCCAGTTAACAGAAACAAAGTTTTGGAATATTTCTGATTAATTTTAACTCTTTAACTTAAATAAAAATAAGAAGTTCTGTTTCCGATGAGGAGCTGAAGGGGCGTGGCCTCGGGCCGCTTCCTGTCAGGCAGCGCTCAGGGAACACTGGACCCAGCAGCTGATGCTGCTTTAAAACTGGACCCTGGAGTCCCGAACCGTTATCAGAACCCGCAGCCGGACCGGAGCTCAGGGTGTCGGACCCGCAGCGCTGCCTGGAGCCGGTTCTGTTCGGTGCCATGTGGTTCTGATCAGAGTTCGGGTCGTTGGATGAGTCCTGGGCTGCAGGTGAGTTCGGTTCGGTTCGGTTTCGTGTTTCAGTTTTACTCCGGGACAAAACAACAACAACAAACAAACAGGTGAACRGGACCGGAACCAACACCTGAAGAACCGGGCCGAACCCCTGCAGAGGGCTTTAGGGTTCGGTTCCACAGCCACTTCCGGTTCTGAAGGTCCCACCTGAGCAGGTGGCAGAAGGTCAGAGGTCACGAGCCTCACCTGGTTCCTGCCGGGTCAGGTTCTGAGGTTCTGTTCAGCAGGAATCTGGACTTGTTTAGCCGTGACGTCWTAGCGACAGCAGACAGCGGGTTCTGTTGAACCGGCTCGGTTCTGGAGCGGCAGAACTTTTTCAGGCTGAAGTCAAAACTGCGGGAAGTTCGGTTCTGAAGGTCCWGTTCAGAGCTGTGTTCTGAACGGATCAGAACTTTTAGAACCTGTGGTTCTGGTGGTTCTGGTCTGGGTTTAAAGTGCAGTTTAGGACTGTGAGGTTCTGGTTGGTTTGGACCGGGCCTCAGGTGGTTCCTGGAACAGGTGTCTCCCGGGAGTGGACCTGTTTGTTTGGTCCGGTCACCGTGGTGACGGAGTGACGTCACCTGCAGGTGTGAAGATCAGGAGTCCAGTGTCAGGTACCTGGACCGGACCGGACCGGACCAGAACCCTCCAGTCTGTCAGAACCAGCAGAGATCGGGTCAGAACTTCTGAACCTTTTAAAACAAACTTTGTTTCCTAAAGCTTTTGACCTGMGGGCGGAGCCGTGAGGGGGCGGGGCCTGTCAGGTGGGTGGGGCCTCAGAGAGTGACATCATAGAAACAGGAAGTAACAGAAACAAATAATATTTAAAATAAATTTTCCTTCTTGTTCTGAAACCGGGTCGACCCGACCCGACCCGACCCGACCCGACCCGACCCGACCCGACCCGGGTCAGTCGGCAGCTTCCTGTTGGCTCACCTTTAGGCCCCGCCCCCTCCTGTCCTTCAGGTGTTAAAGGCTTAAAGCAGCAGGTTAATCTGCTTCTTCCTGCAGGAGACACGCGTGGGGGCAGCTCGCTGCTGGTTCTGGTTCTGACTCACCTGTGGACCCGCCCACACAGGTAAGCTTGGCTCCTCCCCCTCCGCTTTGACAGGTTGGACAAATAAACCAAAACAACCAGTTCTGGCTTCACTGGACCGGGTCAGAACCACCATCAGGTGGTTCCCTGCTGGACCGGCTCAGAACCACCTGATCCCTGCTGGACCGGGTCAGAACGAGGGGTCCAGTGTCTGGTTCTGAGTCCAACAGAACCTCTTTGTCCTGACTCAGAACCAAACCTGGTCTCATGTTTAGGTTTTGGGTCTACATGGTACCAGAAGGTTCTAAACCACTTCAGGAACTTTGGTCCGGTTCTGCTTGAAACTGCTGGAAGTCTCCCAGAACCACCAGAACCACCAGAACCATCAGAACCACCAGAACAACCAGAACCACCAGAACCATCAGAACCACCAGAACCAGTTCCCTGAGCTGAACCGGGTCAGTTAATGGTTTGTAAACAGAGCGGTTCTGACAGCTGGTTCTGGTTGGACCTGCTGTGGTTCTGGCCCGGTCCTCGGTGCTGTTCTGTTCTGAAGTGGACCGGGCCTGGCAGCAGGAAGCAGGACCAGCTCCTCCAGGATTAGACTGGATTATTTTCAGCTGCTGCCTGCAGGGACCTGCTGCGGTTCTGAGAAACCGGGTCAGAGGGTGAACATGTGCTCCAGAACCCTCAGCTGCTCCAGCTCAAAGCAAACGGATCAGAACCAGACTCCATCTTAGAATCAAGATTTAAATTGTTTCAGCTCTAAAACCTTTAACTCCGCCCACCAGAACCATCAGAACCTCCACTCTGCTGCTCGCAGGTTCTGCCTCGTCTGGTTCTGTTGGTGGAAACCGGGTCATGTCCYGTCCGGATCGTGGAGCAGAGTGAGGCAGCCTCCTGTAATCTGTGACACAGACTCTTATTTTGAAAGTCTTCCTGTTTTACATTTTGTTTTGGTGACCTGTTACCATGGTGATTCTCACCTTTATGACTGGGCAGAAAGGGGCGGGGCTACAGTGGGAAGGGGCGGGGCTGCAGTGGCTCTGAAGTGGAACCGCTGAGTGGAGTTTGACCCGGTGGTTCTGATAAAACCGTTAATCAGTCACTGAACAGGAAGTTCTGTGGGCTGGAAACAGGACCGGTTCTGTTGGACCCGGTTAGGTCCAGAGTTCAGCTGTTGGACAGATGGACTGAGAGGTTGGATCAGAACCTTTGTTTATAGACAAGAAGTTTTCTGTCAGCTGTGTGCTTTTACTTTGAAATATATCAGCAGCTTTTAGTGTGAAAGGGKTGAAACAGGAAGTAGATCTGAGGTGTTTTTACCTGACGCTGCAGAACGGATCAGAACCAGAAACAAAGCAGCTGAAGTTTTAATCCACAGAGTAAAGAGGATTAGCTCACTGATCCCCKCCAGGGGGCGGGGCCAGACCTGTTTGTTCTCCAGGTGACGACGTAAACAACCTGCAGGTAAACATGACTGAAGCTGATTTACTCCTTTACTGACTGTACCTGAACGCCTCGTTATGATCCGACTGGACCTGAACGCCTCGTTATGATCCGACTGGACCTGAACGCCTCGTTATGATCCGACTGTACCTGAACGCCTCGTTATGATCCGACTGGACC